GTGGTTTGGGCTTTGCTTCTGTGAAGACTGACAGCCTTGGAGACCCTGTGGGCAGTTCCACTCTGTCCTCTGGAGGCGCTGTGGGTCCGAAGCGTCCCAGGGAACAATGATGTTTGGGCTTTGCTTCCACAGAGATGACAGCCTTGGAAACTATGAGGCAGTTCCGCTCTGCCCTCTAGAGGTTGCTATGGGACTGGGCAGCAGTAGGTTTGGTTTGGCCTCACCGACTGTTACCCTTGGCAGAGGAAGGGAGGGAAGTGGATCAGGAGCTGCCGGTGTAAACCACACCCAGCCCCGTCATCCCCATCAGGGCCGTGAAGCACACTCCCAGTTTGTGAAAATCCCATGCTTTGCTATTCGTGACGGAAAAGTCCAGAACTACCAGTTCAGCATCAAGTGGGGGACATGCCGCAGACAGGATACTTGGGGAAGACTGAAGCAGGGTACCGTACACGTGTGTGGAGATGTGAACATGCGGGCACGAGAGAAGACGGCCAGGGAAGGGTCGGAAGGGGCTGTGGGTGATGAAAGGACAGCAGGGTTGTGCCTTTCTTCCCACCTGCGTTTCCCACCTTTTCCACAGTGAGCACCCGTTACTCTTATATGCAGAAGGAACAACCCACAGTCTTGGAACAAGATAAACCTCAAGGTCCAAGGGGAGGCGGGAGGAGGCGAGTGTGTGTCTGGGCCTGAGGTCTGTGGTCCTCTCTCCGCAGGTAAGGCCGAAGGGAACGGCAAGATGCACGTCACCCTCTGTGACTTTATTGTGCCCTGGGACACCCTGAGTACCACCCAGAAGAAGAGCCTGAACCACAGGTACCAGATGGGCTGTGAGTGCAAGGTAAGCCCCGTCCCCTGGGCCCTTTCTGTCCCACACTTGCCACAGGCTCCAAGGGCACAGCTGGGGTTGTGGCCCCTGGCTGTCAGGGGCTTCTCTCTTTCTGGGGCCTGACTTGGATGGGGCTCTGAGGAAGTGGCAGCCTCCCCACGTGGTGGCCCTGAGCCTGGCAGGCACTGAGGGTGCGTGGGCACCGAGGGTGTGTGGGCACCGAGGGCTGCATAGGTGAGCACTGATACAGCCATGTAGCCTCATGGCCTGTGGCCTCTTGGGGACGCGGGGCCCAGGGATGCTTCTCTCCAGCCCCACCCACCACCTTCATGGACTTGGTTATTCAGTCACCCTTTCCGCTGGTCACTGAACACCTGGGCTGACGGGGGGTGCTCCAAGGAGAATGTGGCCCTGAGTACAGAACCACAAAGGACAAGGACCTGTGTGCGTGTGGGCCCACCCCTGCAAAAGGGGCGTGGGGACAGCATCCTCCCCTGAGCTCCTCTGACTTCACAAAGGGGAGACCGAGTCACCCTCAGCAGCCCAAGGCTCATTCCATGAGGCCTTTTACCAGCTGTCCCTCCCACAGCGCTCACTCCTCTGCTAGGCTCAATAATTTATTGCAGCGCCCACACAAAACTCAACAGGGCATGGTCACGATTATGGAGTTTATTAGGGAAGTAACAGGATGCCATTCAGGTTCAGGGACGTGCTCGTGGTGCGGTTCTTCCATCAGGACCGTCCCCTCTGCTGTGCCCTCAGGCTCGCCTCTCTGGCCCTTGGCCTCTCGGCCTGGCCTCTGCCCCGCGCAGGCAGAGCTTTCTCAGCTCTGCTGCTAGGGACTCCTAGCTGCACCCCACTCCGCCAGCAAGCCCCCTGCCCAAAGGCACTAGGCTTTCTCGTTCCGTGGGCGACTCCTAGCTGCACCCCACTCCGCCAGCAAGCCCCCTGCCCAAAGGCACTAGGCTTTCTCGTTCCGTGGGCGACTCCTAGCTGCACCCCACTCCGCCAGCAAGCCCCCTGCCCAAAGGCACTAGGCTTTCTCGTTCCGTGGGCGACTCCTAGCTGCACCCCACTCCGCCAGCAAGCCCCCTGCCCAAAGGCACTAGGCTTTCTCGTTCCGTGGGCCTGCAAGCCCACTGCTTTGTCCCGTGCCTCTTGGTCCCTCAGCCGGTTGTCTCTGCCGTCTCTGCCAAGGAAGTCCAACACAGCACCTTGGGTTCACGGATGAACTTCACTCCACCTCCGGCTCTTAACTCTTGATGGCAGTGAGATCCCCCTCTCTGCCTCTAGGAGGGTTCGTTTTAAGCCTAGCGTAGTGACAGAAGTAACTAATCCCTGTGTTAGAGTTGCGTGCACCTTATCTGCATGCCCCACCCCCAGTCAAGTGGTGGAGTCACAGAGACTGGCTAGAAAAGCCACAGCAAGAAGCTCATTGCAGCACAACCCCCACCCCCGGCCCCACGTTCTGCTGGCGTTCTGGCTTTTCTGTGCCTGGTCCCCGTAAACCCAGACACCGCGTGTCAAGAGCAGCTTAGATGCCTGCCTCCTTCTCACAACTTGCCTGCACGTGTGTCATGCGCAGCTGAGGCCTGCTCAGAAGGTCAGCCGCAGCCGGAGGCGGTAGGGCTGCCAAGTCTCCCAGAATCGGATTCTGTCATCCTCCAGCCCCTCCCTGCACTAGCACCCCCCACCCCGCACAGAAGGCCGTCCTGGGGCCAGCACCCTGATGTGGACCCTGGCCCCAAGCCCTGCCCGTGGTTGAGGCTGTAAGCTTGTTTGCTGCCACTCAGGACGGCCGGGGGGCCTTCTGCTGCCGGGGCCGGTGGCCACACCAGTCCCAAAGCTCTGCCCGCTGTCCTGACTTGGAGAGTTGTCAGGTTCCATGTGGGAATGGCAGCCTCATCGTTTCCAGCTTCACGAATGTCAAGCAAAACCTCTGAGATTGGGAGTGAGTTCTAGGTACACAGCCATGAAGTCGAGATTCCTTGGTGAAACGCTGTGGTTGGCAATGGCCACAAAGCCAGTCACTGAGTCTGGGCTTAGAGAGCAGGGTACGGGCCTCACGGGAGCTCGCCCCGTCTCCAGGAGACTTGTTGGGGACCGTGGTGGTCAGTGCCTTCCATGCGGGACACTTGGGTTCAATTCCTGGCCAGGGCACCTCCCGGGCAGCCAGCCCCCCGTCTGGCCGTGGAGGCCTTTGTTGCTGGGCTGCTCACCAGCCTCCAGCAGAGCTTCCAGAATCAGTCAGACCAGGAAGAAAGGCCTGGTGACCTACCTGAAAAGTCCACCACTGGAAACTCTGATCCCGTTGTGTGTGGGGTCACCGGGAGTCAGGGACTGGGCTGACGGCGGTTAACAAGAGCAGCGTTCTTACTAATCCTGGTGTGATCGTACTCCAGGGGGATGGAGGTAGGTGAAGCCGTGGCCATGCTCAGAGAAGGCAGACAGGTGGCTCAAGGTGAATAAGCAGATGCCGTTGCAGGTTGGGGAGCGGGGGCGCTAAAGGCAGTCTGTACAGGTGCCCACCTCTGCCTCCAGACCCCACCTGCTGCTGCTTTGGGAAGTTTGGGCTCATGGGAGGCCCCAGTTTCAGACCCATCTCCCCCCAGCCTTCCTCCATGTATTAGTCCTGGCCAGCCCTTGCTAGTCCCCGGGGCGCCCTGAGAGGCCCGCCATGCTAAGGCCCGCCCGTGTTCCCCCAGATCACGCGCTGCCCCATGATCCCATGCTACATCTCCTCGCCGGACGAGTGCCTGTGGATGGACTGGGTCACGGAGAAGAACATCAACGGGCACCAGGCCAAGTTCTTCGCCTGCATCAAGAGGAGCGACGGGTCCTGCGCCTGGTACCGTGGAGCCGCGCCCCCCAAGCAGGAGTTTCTCGACATCGAGGATCCATAAGCGGGCACCGACCCCCTGGCCGACGAGAAGCCTCCCAGAGTTTAGACTGGTCCAGCCCTGACATCATTCCTGGGAACAGCATGAAAAACAGTCGTCCAAGGGCCCAAATTCGCGTGCTTTCTGCCCCGCCCCATTTTCCTTTTCAACCTGGTTGTGCGTCTGGAGGGAGAGGTGGGCCAGGGTCTCACCCCGCACCACGTCCCCCAGCCTAAGCATCTTAGCCTTTGGGCCTTGGGTGCGGGGATGGGACACGTGGACAGCCCTCCCGGGACCCACTCAGGGCTGTGGCTGGCTCTGAGTGGCTGCACTTAGGGGCCCCCTGGCCTGGAAATGAGCATTTTGCAGAAACTTTTGAGGGTTGTTGTGAGACTGTGTAGCAGGCCTACCAGGTCCCTTTCGTCTTGAGAGGGGCGTGTCCCTCATTTCGTGCCTCTTCCACCCACCCGCTCCCATGTCCCTCACCAGCACCCTCTTTTCTCCTCTGTGACGCCCCCAAATCCAGGAGAGGCCCTGGAAAAGTTGGCTTGATCTTGAAGAAACCCCAGTCCTTCAATCGCAGAATTCCACTGGGCGTCTCAGTCAGGTCTGTGGAGAGGTGTGAGAACAAGGGGTCCCCAGTGAGCCACGTGTGAGCTTTGCCAGGTCATCTGGGCCCGTCTGTCCCTCAAGCACACACATATACCCCCCAGTGGGAACCTGCGTGGTTCCGCCCCATGGGCAGTGCCTTGGAGGGAAGCTTGGCTGGTCCTTAGACTTCCTGAGCCTCTGAGGTCACTCCCACTTCCTTCTCCTGGGACCAGGTGATTAGACAGAGTTGCAGAACTTGGGTCTGCCCAGGTTGGGGATGGTGGGGGGGGCTGGGTGTCCCATTTGCACATCCTAAGTTGTGAACAGCTGGGTCCTACTGGGTCCCTGGCACACCTTGGGGCCCCCTCTGAGCAGATGTCCCCAGGCTTAGTGTCATCTCCCCTCAAAGATGGACGATCGCCATGGGTTTCCCAGGTGTGTTAGCTGAGCGCACCGTGCAGGCCTCTCTCCAGGAAACGGTTTTAGGGTCAGAGCTTTGGGGAGACTCCCCTTCCTTCCTGGGCCTCCAGGACACTGTGGCCTGTTTTCAGAAGGATCTCACTTTTCAAGAAATTAATTCTCAGCTAATATGTGTAACCATTGCAGTTTCTGTTTCTTATATTACAAAGAATACCACATGAAGGAATTTTGTAGGGA